AGATTCCTCATGAGTACAATCAAGTGCTCAGGGATTCCCATTCTTCTCAATGTTATCCATAATTTGTCATGATCCACACAATCAAATGCCTTTGCATTAATAATTAGAGGTTAGAAGTCAACAAGAGAGATAAAATGGAATTACATAAAGGGAACAAAGAACAGAGAAAACAAAAAGAATCTGAACTGAGATTAAACACACTTAGTAAGACCAAGAAATGAATCATGTCAAGTAAATTAGTTTGAATGACAATCAACTTAGTATTATTTAGTGCTATAGTATATAACACTGGGAAGAATGGAATTCCAGAATACTTAGTTATGTTCATATGGAACCTGTACATAAAGAGGCAGTCGTTTGAACAGAACAAGGGGTTACAATGTAGTTTAAAATCAGAAAAGGTGTGCATCAAGGTTGTATCCTTTCACTTATTCAATCTGTATGCTGAGCAAATAACCTGAAGAGCTGGACTATATGAAGAATGTGGCATGAAGATTGGAGGAAGACTCAATAACAACCTGTGATATGCAGATGAAACAACCTTCCTTGCTAAAACTGAAGAAGACTTGAAACACCTACTAATGAAGATGAAAGACTACAGCCTTCAGTATGGATTACATGTCAACATAAAGAAATAAAAAATCCTCAAAAGTGGACCAATAAACAATATCATGATGAATGGAGAAAATATTGAAGTTGTCAAGGATTTCATTTTACTTGGATCCATAGCCAACGCCCACAAAAACAGCAGTCCAGAAATCAAATGACTTATTGCATTGGGCAAATCTGCTGCAAAAGTTTGTTTAAAGTTTCAAAAAAGCAAAGATATCTCTTTGAGGACTAAGGTGAGCATGACCTAAGCCATGGTATTTTCAGTCACCTCATATGCATGTAAGAACATTGTGATAGGTGGAGCTGTGTGTCAACTTGGCTGGACCCCAGTTCTGTATGATTGTTCCCATGATGGGATCGGATGACTGTGTTCTGAGTGGCCAATCTGCCCAAGGGGAGTTTCCCTAGGGGTGTGGGCTGCTTCCAGGATATCCAGGGACATCCTGGGAAGAGAGACATTCTTCGGTGTATCAGGACCCTGGTGTGCTGACTACAATCTTCTGTGAGTGAGCAGCCCACTGCTAGGCCTGGAGATCTTGGATTCATCTTTTGTTGGAGTCAACAACCAGTGTACTGCCTACCAGCCTTGAATTTCTCAGCCCCCTTCACAGCCCCCTGCTAAGGCTGCCTCCAGCCCGACGTTTCCTCCAGGGACTTTGGACTTGCCGGCTTCTATACGTTTGTGAGACATTTTCCTAAGATAAATTTCTCTCTATATATAAATATATATATATAAGCTTTGCTGGTTTTTGTTTCTCTAGAGAACCCAGTCTAACACAAACCTTGTTGGCATAGTGGTTAAAGTGCTTGGCTGCTAACTAAAGGGTCAGTGATTCAAATCCATGAGCTGCTCCATGGGAGAAAAAAGCGGCAATCTGCTTCCGTAAAGATTTAAACTAAAAAACTCACTGCTGTCAAGTCGGATCCGACTCACAGCGACCCTTCCTTGGGTTTCTGAGGCGGTATCACTACGGAAGTAGATTGCCCAATCTTCCTTCTGAGGAGTGGCTGTTGGGTGTGAACCACCAGCCTTCTGGTTAGCAGTCAAATACCTTAGGCACTATACCACCAGAGCTCCTTGTAAAGATTTACAACCTTTGAAATCCTATGGGGCAGTTCTACTCTGTCCTACAAGGTCTCTATGAGTTGAAATCAATTTGACAGCAGTGGGGCATACGTCTGTCAAATAATGAATAAGTAATGCCAAAGAAGAACCAATGCCTTTGAATTATGGTGTTGGTGAAGAATACTGAATATACCATGGTTTTCCAGAAGAAATAACCAATTTATCTTGGAAGAAGTACAGCCAGAATGCACCTCAGAGGCAAGGATGGCAAGACTCCGTCACACGTAGTTTGGACATGTTATTAGCATGGATCAGTGCCTGGAGAAAGACATCATGCTTGGTAAAGTAGAAGGTCAGAGAAAAAGAGGAAGACTCTCAATGGGATGGACTGACACAGCGGCTGCAACAGTGGGCTCAAACACAGCAACGATTATAAGGGTGGCACAGGACTGGGCAGTGTTTTGTTCTGCTGTACATAGAGTCATTACGAGTCAGAACTGATTAAACAGCACCTAAGAACAACAGGGCTACTTAGCACTGTGAGTAGTTCATTTTTGCCTTCATAGCAAATTAATAGTAAAATTGAAAACATGTTATTCACAACAGTAGTAATACATTCAGCAGTAACAAAAACTAACTTCAAACCTCATTTTATGTTAAAAGTTAATTAAAGATCATATCTTTCTTTAAAAAGATCATTAAAAATTATATTTTAAATTATATGTGGCTTCATCATAGATTTCTCTTGTGAGAAAAAAGGCATTGGGTGGGAGAGAAGGAAGGGAATAGAGAGAAAGAGGTAAAGAGAGGGAGTGAATAAAAGAGAGGAAAGAAGGGGCAGGAAGCAGAGGAGAGGGGAGGAAGAACAGAGACAGAGAGATCAACTGGTCAATGATTTTAGATGTAAGGATTTAACACAAACACATGCTTGTTTCTAAGATGCATCATGGGGTATTTATTAGACATAAATGTGAAATACCCCATTATCAAAATGATGTTCCCAAAAGAGTATCATTTGATATTTGACAGACACCAAAAAGCATCATTTAAAAATTTTTCAATGGTACTGATATGGATGATCAGAAATGAATTAGGATGTGTTATTAAAGTACACAAGTTATTTGGGCAATGAAATCTGTTACATTGGGGGTCTGCAGTAAATATGACTATAAAAATTACCTTTATCACTTAAAGACATTACTCTTTAAGATCAAGAAGCTTTACATCCAATCATTCTCCAAGTAAAAATAGTGGTAATAGCCTAATTAACCTTTATCCCTTTGAAGTTCATCCTTGGAGACAGCATCAGCACAGGCATCAAAGTACTTCTGTAGAGTATCAACTTGTCTACATAGGATGTCTCTAAAAGTTTCCATTTCAGCCAATTTCTCACGTAAACTGTGGCCCTTCTGCAAAATACAAAAATAGGGAGGGATGGGGGAGGTGGTTGAGATCCAAGTGAAACAAAATTGGAATTTATTTGGCCCTATAGTATTTTATCACCTTATTACTGAGCATATGAGGTAGGGAGAGCTCATGTCAAGTTCTATATAATAATACTAGGAATAGACTTTAAGCTTATGGTTTGGCAATAAGCTTGAAGGAAACAAGAAATAATAACCTTGAAAATTTGCTAATATAACAGTTAATACTTTCATATAGACATTGTTAGGAAAAAATATTACTACTGTACTTTCAAAGAAATGGTGAATGACTCCTAAGAGAGTACGTTATTTGATCAAGAAGTCTTTGCCTTTCACTGCATCTGAGCTATTTTATAATTCTTTAAGAAACAGAAAATTGAGAGTAATGTAAATGATTCTTGTCCTAGAGATGCAAATGAAATCTGACCGGTGGCGATGCATTATTATCCCCTGAACATTTACCAGTTTTGCATACATTAGCAAATGCTTTTAGCATTGTTTATTTTATATTTTTCAGATTTTTTTGAACCAATTTTTTTCTTTACATGTAATTCATATGTGTGTGTGTAATATATGTACATATATATACACACACACACATATAAGAGTGGATTCTACCCTTTAAATAAAAAATTACTCTGTTGTTGTTATTTGCCGTCGAGTCGGCCCCGATTCATAGCGACCCCTCCTTGGGTTTCCAAGGCAGTATCACTACAGAAGTAGGATTGCCCAACCTTCCTTCCGAGGAGTGGCTGATGGGTTTGAACTGCCAGCCTTCTGGTTAGCAGTCAAGTGTCTTAGGCACTATGCTACCAGAGCTCCTAAAAATTATAATTTTGAGTTTGTTCCACATTTTCCCCCACTCCATCTAGGACCTCTTATTATGATCCCATTTGATAGATAATAACTTTTCTGAAATGTAATTTATTTGAAGTTGTTTAAAAATTACTCTAAACAACTTCAAATAAATTACATTGCAGAAAAGTTATTATCTATCAAATGGGATCATAATAAGAGGTCCTGGATGGAGTGGGGGAAAATGTGGAACAAACTCAAAATTATAAAATAGACCAGGCTTAAAGCTTACTGGTCTGATAAAGGCCGATAGAACCCCGAAGGTTATGGTCTTTAGACAACTTTCAAGCCAGGAAGTGAATTTAACCCAGGACTCAACTGGCAGCCAAATGAAAGATAGGCCTACAAGGTGAACAGTAACATCACAAGGGTATGTACTCATTAGAACAGTCAAGCATATGGTCAAAAGGACAGCATTTGCCAGGGATAGAGATAGGAAGGTGGGCAGGGTTAGGAAGGAAGAACAAAGGGAGAGTGGGTACAGGGGGGAAGTGGTAAGAATGTTGTTACAGTGTGGGGATTCAGTAAATGTCATAAACCAGAATACGTACGGACGGACTGTTGAATGGAAAACCAATTTGCTCTGTCAAATTTCACAAAAATCACACACACACACACACCTACACATACACACACACAAAATCCCACTATCAAATAAGATCTGTTCACAATATGCACTACTAAATTCTATGTTGCCTTAATTTAAAGCATTCATAACCACAAACCTTGAATGAAGAAGTAGATGTCGCAGAATAGCCACTTGCTCCAGAAACCAGTGACACCATTGAGCCATGTCGTCGCAGGCTGGATTCAGAGCCATATCCAGATTCAGTCTAAAAAGAAAGTAAACTGCATGAAACAAAATTTAAATAAAAATAATAAAAAGAAAACAAAAATTTTCCTAGATATTAAATAGATTAAGTAAGGTTATTAAATAAATAAAGTTTGGGTAAACACAAGACATACAAGCAATACAATGGCATAAACAACATCTTTCAGTTAATTGCAATTTAATTTAGAAATTTACCTAATACCTACGACATACTGGGTTGTTTTTACGTGCATCGAGTCTGTTCTGACTCATAGCGATCTCATGTACAACAGAACAAAATGCTGCCCGGTCCTGCTCCATCCTCACCATTGTTTGCTGTGTTTGAGCCCACTGTTGCAGCCACTGTGTCAATCTATGTCCTTGAGGGTGTTTTTCACTGACCAAGCATGATATCCTTCTCCATGGACTGGTTCTTCCTGACAACATGTCCAAAGTACATGAGACAAAGTCTCATCATCTTTGCTTCTAAGAAACATTCTGGCTGTTATTTCTTCCCAAATAAATTTGTTCCTTCTTCTGGCAGAATTAGAGAAAGCAATATATGGATCTACCAAGATAAAATGATGTTCCATTAATTCCTGGAGGCTTCTTTTTGCCAATGCCTTCAATGAAGCTTAGATTTCTTCCTTCAGTATTATTAGCTCTTGTTTTTTTTGAGCAATAAAGACTTCTGTTTATTTCAGAGGTTGTTGAATATTATTTTAAGTTTTCCTTCTTTCAAGAAGAACAATCTATTAATTCTTTATATATATATTGTGATTTGGGTGAAGGTTTACAGAGCAAATATACTTGCCATACAGCGGTTCACATATATGTTGTCTCATGACATTGACCACAGTTTACCATAATGCAACAGCTCCCCTCCCACTTTCTTCCCATACTTACCTATTCCCAGTGTCCATCCCTCCATGGGCTTCTGCCCCCTGAGCTGTCTCTCTGTGCATAAGCAGCCCTTCTTTCTCTCATAACTGTTCTCTCCAAGGAAACTATGTACTTGAGGTAAATGTTCAACTCATATGACTGACTTTTGTCTGGCTGGAAACCACAGGTGTGGGTTCAATTCCAGATCTGAAGGGAAGCTAGAGGCCATAGTCTCAGTGGTTCCAGCAGGCTCTATC